CAAGGGGTCAAATACTTATTTCCCCCACTGTACATTAGTTACTGAGGACAAAAATCACCACCTTGTGTCACCACTGGTCTAAAACGAGTGGATTAAATCCACTCTGTGTGTCCTGTGTAGCACTATGCATCCATTATGAAGTACATCAGCCAGCCTCCTCTGCTGCTGGACGTCCACATCCACAAGCCTCTGCTTCCCGCCCGCACCTGGATGGACTCTCTGCTGGCCTTCTTCCCCGGCCTGCAGGTCAGATTCTCCGCACACGACCAGAGGAAGTGAGATATCGTGCTCGTTCGGTAACCTCCTCCATGCTGTGTGTAACCCAGGTGCTGAAGGGAGACATCCGTCCTGCCATCGAGACTCACGAGATGTTGTACCAGGTTACCAAAAAGCACAACTTCCTCCCAGAGGTAACGTTTCCGACTCGTTTCTGGCTGGTTCTTTCTGTGTCGCATTTGCTCTGGAGCTCCATCCGTCAGCTTTTATTTCCTCTCCTGGGATGAGAGCGCCGACCCCCTTTGTCCTTCTCCCTCTGTCCCCAGGCTTTCACTACTGATTTCAGGGTACACTGGGCACAACATCCCCTGAGACCTGAGTTTGCAGAGAGCACCTATTTCCTGTATAAGGTAATTTATCAGCATCCTCACAGCCTGGACGTCGTCTCTCACGTCTCTCTAAAGCTGCTACAGCATGCAAAGCACGTCATTATCCGCCCTTATCTCTCAATAAGAGAACTTATTGATGCTGACCGATCCTCTGGTTCTTCCAGGCCACGGGAGACCCGTACTACCTGGAGGCAGGCCGCACCATCATGGACAACCTCAACCGCTTCGCCCGGGTCCCTTGTGGCTTCGCTGCGATGAAGGACGTGCGGACAGGCAGCCACGAGGACCGGTCAGTATATAAAGACACACAGAAATGCAGCCGTCCCTCCCCAAACCTGATCAGGAGTAAAGGATCAGGTTTAAAAGTGTAAAATAAGTCCTCTGTTGGGCATTAGTCAGAGTACACATTATTCGTTTTTGCCAGAAAATGATAAAGAATAATGATTATGTCCAGTTAAAGGAAAGAAAATAAATGTAGATTTATGGGGAGAGCGTCTGTCACAGGATCAGTTTTTATTTTTTTAATTATGTTTATTGAATTTTCCCCCCCAAAAAAAACACATATAAAAGTCACATACATGTCCCCACATTTTGAGTCATATTCGAACATGGTAGTACAAATAAACAAAATCTACCAATCCCTCCTTCCCTCCCTCCCAATGTAGGACTACAGATTGTAGAATAAATCCCACCATATAAAACATATAAAATGAAATTATTTTTTTTTTAACATTCTTTATTTAAGATTATTATGAATCCAACACACATACATATGAATATTTATGCATGCACTTACATAAAGAAAAACAAAAACCAGTCAAACAAAAAAATAAAAAATATAGAAAAAAAATAAA